ACTTCAAAAATAAAGTCAAAAATGATATTCAATAACGTATGTAAACTTCTTAATCTTCCATTAAAGTAGGGCATAATGATATGTAATTACCAGAGGACTCTACAGAATCCTTACAGTTTACGCAATAGTTTTCAGCTGATATACATGATATTGACTTTTTCCTTATAAATAATGGCATATGAGGGGAATATTTCCGACAAAATAGAAATATGTATGATAGTCATTTTCTAAAAATGACTTTATAATGATCTATTGACAAATGCTCAAATTCCTAGTTTATTCGCTGTGGAATCTCTAGCTGTTAATCTATTCCATTACTGATTCAAATACTTGGTAATAAGAGAGAGAATACTAATATGCTGATATTATTGGAATGTCGATTAGCGTTGTACTGTAGATATTTTCGTCATTGCTCTCTCTCTCTCTCTGCGAACCAACTCACTGATAAGAAAATCTCCTAAGACAACTAATCAGAGCCAACGTCACCGGGGGAGGCGGTTATTTCATTCACACAGACTTTTGAGAACTGACTTCATTTTGAAGTTAGCACTGAATATGTTGTCCAGGAAGACATCGAAAGCTTAGAAATAAGACCACACAGGTCAGGAAAAACAAAACCAAAAACAAACTTTCTCTAGGTTTGACTTATTGTTCAGAATCTTTCACTATTACGTAATATTATATTTTTAGGAATAATTATCACTTTGTGTTTTTATAACCTTAAAGGAATTTTCCATGAATGAAAGATACCTTGAGGATAAAAGAAGAGATATATGAAGGATTGAAAGGATTTCAACTCAATCAATAAATACTTAAAATAAGGGATTTTTCAAACTTTATTCACTTATAAACTTCTTTTTAAAAGTCATTCTGCCACAGTTTTGCCTGTTTATACATCTGATACACTTTATTTTCTTTATTCCTCTACATTCCCAGTGGAACATGGGGCTTCAAGCTAGAGGCTCGAAGTTTCTGTAGCAGTGGTGATTATTTTTACAGAATGAGGTTGCTAGCCTTATGCCCAACCTTCCCTCTTTACCAGTCTTATTGCCGGTTTAGCGAAGAAGAGGAGTGCATCAGCCGTGGATAGAACCTCGGACCACCTGAGTGGTTGGCAAGCACTCTATTGCTGTGACATTAAAAAAAATGAATCCATGACTTTAAACTTGCTATGATTTAGGATTTATTACTATTATTAATGTCATTATAAATAGTTTTCAGGATTTCATCATGAGCTGACATCATTTAGAGAACCATTGGAAAACCTGGGAGTACTGGACAGTTGTTTCGTCTAGTTTCGGACTCTTCATCAGTACGTACCCACAGACAGGGTGAGAACCCAGGACTTTCTGGTTACAAGGCTAGCTAGCTCGTAGACCATTAAGCCACTGGGACCGATCTAATGACCAGCCCATGAATTCTAACTTCTGCCAATTCACGACATAGTGGACCATTGAGCAATGTCTTCTTCGATGATTTACTGCTCCATCCTCAACCTGCTGTATCCTACTGGTCACGGCTTCCGACTAGAACCCCAGGCTAACTGCCTGAATAGGGTCAGTCACTAGTGAGCATCAGATTAATTTTCAAGTATTGGTTTTGTAGGGATTTTGTTTGATTGCATGGAGGATTTAATCATAAGTTAGTTTAATTCATAAAAAGGTATTATCAAATGTTGGTTTGCACAGATTCGATTGATTTCAAGCCAAATCAGTAAGTAACATCAGTTACAGAACCAATGAAAACGGCCGTTTGGTCCCAGTTTGCTACGCTTCATTCGTACTTACCCATCATCCTTTGGGGGACCGAACCTACAACTTTTAGATCGTGAGATGAGTCCGTTTACTATTCAGTCACTGGGACAGAATCCAATGACTCGCAGTTCTAGGTTGTGCCAATATCAGCCAATGTCATCGCAAGACATCTCTCCTCACATCTGACTTATTGGGTCCCAGTGGTCACAAGTTCACAGGAGAACTAAGTTCGACTGCCGGTGAGGTGATGATTGAGCGGTACTGGGCAACAAACTTTATAAATCATAAAGAACTAGTACATTTGAGGTGAATTTTTTAAAAGAAGCTAATATTGATTAAGTATTGAGTTATATTTTGGAATTTGTAATGAGCGACGGAAATGTGGCTTTTAGAGTACTAATGAAAATAAGTGTTCAGCGGGACAACTCATTTCATGGTTAGGTAGATATACCCTCACTAATGACACTAGATTATTTCGTATGTTTTATTGTATCTTTATATGATTAAGGCCAAGGAATAAAAACTGGTGTAAAGTGCTTGTAACACTTGAATCTCCTACGTGTGACTCTATATTGTGTCTTTATTCAACATTGTTAATGCTTCTGCAGTTTATTAAGCTACATCTGTCAACGATGCAGACCGTTCCCAAACAACGTTCGTAATGATAATTAGTGTTTTTGTTATCAGACATGGTGTGATTAGTGATTTCATAACTCACTGATTATGGGCTTTATTAGACCAGTACATCAGTATTAGTTGATCATTTATGTTCCCCAACTTTATGTTGAAAGTAAAACCACCCAGTAACTAAGCCAGTAACTCTTTAGCGTTCGCAGAAATGGGTGCTGAGTTCGAGTCTCACTGATATATCATAATGATTAGTACTGAACTTTAAATCACTCGTCTGAATTTCAAAGAACAGCAGTATAATAATAATAATGCTAAAAAATAAGTCAGCATTAAATTCAGTGTTATTTATTTTGGTAAGCAATATCAAGTGTTAAGTTGTGGGGATTCAATTTATTTCAACGTAAATACTGTCATATACCGAAATCAGTTAGAGCATCACTGAAAATCAAAGAGAACTTGATGACTGTTTCATCCTAGTTCAAGGTTATTCAGTAATATACGCCTACCAGAGACATTTCTTTAACGCATAAAATGATAGATAACTCTAAGAGCAGTAGTGCGGATAAATCCGCCTAATGATTTTAAAACAAAATTAGCCTCGCATACTAGATTTCAAAGGTAACAAGTATCAAATACCTAAAAAATTCAAGTTTTCACAACTGAGGGAGGATTCAAATAAATCAGTAGAAAATTTACTCAAAGTTCAAGTGACCACTAATTGGGGATTTCATATTGCTTCTTTACTTCATTTTATCAAACATATATTTTCCATGTTAAAAGCATTCGAGAAGGTCTTAACTCTTCCAAATTAATGTCAGTTTGTTGAAGATTATGATGATTTACTTTGAAATAAATATAAATAAATTGCAACAGAATTTGAACTGTCATTCTTGTGTCACAATCTTGAACTTTTGTCAAATAAGATATAAGACCCTGAAGTTAACAGAGTTTCAATTTCGGCTGGTTCACCGACTGGTTAACCCATTTGTCCTGCAAATGATTATTAGATAACTAACTGTTCATTATTAGGGTCTGTAAATGGGTGAGTGTAACTTTCTGAATCTAAAAGCTTAGTATTTGTTGCCCCTGTGCCTGGAACATAGATGACTAATTATCTTATCACAAATCGGTTTTTTAATCAGCAATTAGTATAATGCCTCACTATGTGTAGCACTTATAGACTGCATTTATTAATTCATCTTTATTTTTAATAAATGTAATACTATTATTCATAGTGAAATCGAGAGTGAAGGTCATCAAATATTGTTCAATTTTAATTATACGCCAAATTAAATTAGCCGTTCAAAGAACTACTTATAAACATCACCAGACAGTTCAGTATAATTCAGGCAATAATGAACCCTTTGATGCGTACTGCTGAAGAGTCCCAAACTAGGACGAATTAGCTGTTCAGTACTCCAGGTTTTTCAATGGTTCTGTAACCAATGTCAGCTCATGATGAAATTCAATAATGGAAACAGTTGCGTTGAATAAAATCGATTACTTGAGGAACTGGTATCTTTAGGATTTGATGGTGACCTAGTGCTTTCTGTTCTGCGTATCACTAGGCGTCGGTCACACAGCGGTTAGGGCGCTCGCCGACCATGTGCATGGGCCGGCCAACTCACATCTGTTATCAATGGTCGGCTACTAAATTTGGTCTACCAACATCACATGCTAAAAATTTCATACTTGTGCCAAAAATACTGTGTGGAATAATAAGATAATAATAATAAGTTTTAATTAAAATTTATATTTATGGTGAATTTCATTAATGAACAAGTGAATAAGTTGACAGCAGTACTCATGTATATTGTCACCTATGACCTTAATTAGTGGATTAGGAAATTTTGTCTGGTACAGATCCTAGACACACAATACTCATCTAACAATCAATTTTTTTCATTAGTTATAAATTTTCATTCCAGTACGCTTATTATTATTATGGAGTTCGTAATCTATTGTTCATTAGCAGCTAATTTCGTCTCAGTTAATGAATGCTCAACAGAGTTATCTTGCAACCCGACGGTCTTGAGTGGGTGCTAATTCTGAAGAGTCTCAGAGTAGGACAGGACGACTCTCCAATACTCCCTGGTTTTTGATGTTAGTTCGTGATCTAATTTGAATTCGTATTTACTGAAATTAGCATAATAAGCAACTTCACAAAATTCCTAATAAAATGGGTAGAAACTCTGACACTCATCTCTTTACTTAATTCTATTAGAAGACAAACATAATAATGATTGAGTAATATTTACACAAAAATTCATTGAACTACTCATTTCAAATGTTAAGTAGTAACACAAATTAAGGTATTATTATCACCATTATTTTAAAGAGAGAAAATCTACATAAAACCTATTGGTGGATGGTGATTAGTAGTGAACTGCTGAATGCACATTTTGTCCCACACGGGGCTCGTCATCTGAATGTACCTGCACCCCTGTCCTCATTCAGTGATTACTGGCTCTCCCATTGAGACTCGAATCCGCCACGCATAGTTTTAAACGCCAAAGCGTTATCCACAAGACTACTTAGATCGATATATCAACCTGAGGCAGAACACAACACAAAAGTGCAAACTGCATTAAACAATTACAAAAAAAATCCACTTACTGTTCATAATCTTTTCTACAATAAATTTGTCCATATCGATTAAAACAACTAATTTCTTTATCTAAACACTTTCCGCATGTATGACAAATTAAACAATTCATATGCCATAATTGTCCATCTGATAATCCAAGATAAAGTTTTTCGAATATAGGCTGATTACATCCAGTACAATGTTTATTGAATTTATGATAAATAGATTGATGATCTTTTGCTCTTTTAGTTGTTGTAACTGATCGAAGTGAATGATACGATTTCATTACATCTGTAGTATTCACAAATGGATTAGGTGAAATAGTCGCTTCTCTTATTGGCAAGGTATATTTACAAGAATTAATTTGTTGGTTTGATAGATATATGGATGATTTACATTCACTGGGATACGAATCTTGTGGCGTTAGTTGAAAATTTCCGCTGTTTATGTCTTTTTCTTGACTGATTTCTCCATTCGATAATTTTTGTCTTTTGCGGATGATAATGTCGATGATGGAGTTACAGGTAGATAGGCAGATGTTGTTATTGTTGAATTCAATGATGATAGGGGATTAGTAGAAGCACTAGCGGTAGCAGAAGGAGTGAAAGTAGGAAATGGGAAATTTTTAATTAATGTATTTGTAGATGCATAGGAACTGTTAATCACACTGCTCTGATGATCACATGTAAACATTTTACTGGAAGAATAAGGTTGAGAGGAGTTGATGATTCCAGTGTTGTACATTCTGTTGACATCATATTCACCTGGTGTATCCCTTCTTCACTGTGTGAAATAAAAAAAAAGAAATAAAATCAATTAATGAGAGAAATTGTATTCAAATAAAAAAGGAGAGACTTCCTCTCGAAATTATTTAATTGAATTTTAGGTTTTCCCGTCGATTGACTCTACCGAAGTGCTTGGTCTCAGATTGACATGTCGGCTTCTTGTGCAAATGCTTCAACGATTTCTAGGCATGTAATTAGAATTTAATTGGTGGATGGTGACTAGCAGTGGAATCCAAGATCGAGCCTCGGTGAGAACATCATCACTTACTGGGGAATGCAGGTACATCCAGATGACGAGTCCCAAATAGGACGAAATGCGCGTTATCCTTGATTCCACTGCTAGTCACCATCCACCAATTTACTCCTGAAATGTTATAAGCTTTACTGATCTATAATCCTTGAATTCCTACGCTGTCATGTAGAAGTATTGTTAACTTCAATAGAAAGATGAATACAGTAGCATTTCTCCTCGTCTTCAGTTGTTTGTAGGTGTGTGTATCTGGGTAAATTTTAACAAAGGTACAAGTCAAACTGGTGAAAATTCTTCAGACAAGTTTTCGTACTTACTGTTACTCACCAGAAGAGTTTGCCTGTAAATCTATATTTTCTTAATGATTCATATTTTTGTCTCTCAATTCATTTCGACAAGTGAATATTTTATTTTAAATCATCATATCATTCTTGCAACTACTGATTAAGTTTATGAGTAGTAAGTCTGATTTCCATTCAAGACAGTAAGCTGATTTAAACGGAGAAAAGTAACTAAACACACTTGTAAATTGGTTTTACTTGGATGAATTTACTCCAGACTAACAGAAGTGTAAGCAAATTTTAAAATCATTTTTTTAGGCCACATCTTTTTTGAGATTACAGTTTTGGATACTATTCATCCTGTCTATATTTGGTTGCTGTCAAAACTACATTTTGGTGGATAATAAACTACTACATAGATGAGACCCTTTTTGAAATTTTGATTCGAGAAACTATCCGTATATTCCAGAGTTTTTAGAATCCAATGATAAATCCTAAACTATAATAAGTTATTGTGTGTCAATATCCTCATATAGTAAAAGTACAACAGGGGAATGATAAACTGCTAGAAATCCTCTTCTATCTATGTGAAATGCAGACAGACGACTTAGATAAGCATAGATTTATGATACTGACTGACTGTGTTGTCTTTTACACTGAGAAAACAAAGTGAAAATGTTTTAATGCGTAGATAAATCAATCACATGTATATTCGCGATGGGCTGAAGTTAATTTGGAACGTTTCAACACAAAGCTGGAAATATGTGTTCTTATTTAGACTGCATTAATCACATTTTAATATATATATTTTTGACTGCATGGAGGATTTAATCATGAGCTGACATCAGTTAGAGAACCATTGGAAAACCTGGGAGTACTGGACAGCTGTTTTGTCCTAGTTTGGGACTCCTCAACAGTACGCTAGGACGAAACAGCTGTCCAGTACTCCCAGGTTTTCCAGTGGCTCTGTAACTGATGTCAGCTCATGATTAAATCCTCCATGCAATCAAACAAAATCCCTACAAAAACCAATACTTGAAAATATATATTTTTCCTGGAATACTAGACAAGAGAGGTAACTTTTCTGTTTTTAAAAAGTATTACTAACTAAACACTGTTATTGAAAAACAGGGAATACTTGGCAGCTTCTTCATCCTAGTTTGAGACACATCAGTATAAAGCATTCAGGATCCCCAGGTTACGAGGCAAGTCAATTGATGATTTAGCCATTGAGACGGAATTCAATGACCTATAAATTCTAAACTGCCGCCAAATTCCGATAACTATTACCAACGCCAGATAGTGCTATCCATGAGCAACTACTTTCCAACCCGACTTAGTGGACCACATCAGTCACCACTTCTCACTTGAACTCTAGGAAGTTTATCTTATGTAGTCAGTTACTAGTAAAATTGACACCTGAAACATTATCAATCTGCTTACTTTTTGAACTGACTAATAATAAATGAAAGAAATCTTAATAAATAGGATTGTGGTTATTTATAGAATTCTTATTGATGGTGTAACACTAATTATAAACGCGTTTGCTTCATTTCTATTGAAGGTTTGAGTGTAATACTGAATATTTTCAAGTTACTTTTAAAATTAACCCCACAAAATGTTTAATTTCTGTAAACCTAATGATTTTTACCTACACTGTAAAATGGAAGTAGTTTAAGTTTTACTATAGTTTCATATATAATTGTAATGTCTTAGTTTTTGTAAGCATAAGAATGGAATGGAAGTGTAGTGTGTAGTTTCATTTGTTCAGTTACTCAGCTCCAAGCGTTTATATTTATAAGGGTAAACCGATAAACAGAAACCATTACATCTGTATAATTCCACTAACTGACAAAAACTTGTCTAAACTAACTACTAGATAGTTGGAAGCAATCGGTAAGAAGCCTTGAACCTAGGTTTCGTGCTAGTTGGCATTCATCAGTAAGGCGTATCTACAACCTTGAAAGATTCATGTCCCTTCTCATATTCGAACCCGCGTCACCCAATGCTGCAGTCAGAGACGTTACCACTGAGCTATTCGGGCTCACGATTCACCTCTTGTAGGACTGTAGTGGATACTTTGACACTTGGACACTAGTAAGTGGTGTCACGTTGCCGATACACCTTGCTGATGAGAGCCAACTAGCACGAAACCTAGGTCCAAGGCTTCCTGTGGCCGATTGCCTTCAACTATCTAATATATGATCAAATCAATGTGCACTGTGATGGCGAGCTACCTTGAGTGGTGGCCACATTGCAAAACCTGACTGATAGAATTCAGCAGTCTGCACCAAAAAAAGGACTAGATACGTCACACTAGTTACTGACTAGTGTTCAGTCAAAATAAACTAACTACTATTTGTCAGTCCATTCTGATATTTAACCCAGTAGTTTTAGAATGAATAGCTCAGTGGTAAGTACACTGACTTCAAGGATAAATAATTACAGTTTGAAATAAAAGATAAGTTCTCCCATAGTTTCAAATGCATTGTTACTTATGAAAAACAACCTGGGGGGTGGGGGGCGGGAATTAAGGCTTGAAACTTTCAGTCAGTTAACTAGTAAAAGCAAATAACACAATAAACAAAATGGTAGGATGTTTTCCTATTTTGGAATGATAATTTCATCATGTCAAATAATAGAAAAAGGAATCGGAAATTATTCAGCTTCCACAAAAATGGATACGCAGATATTTTACCTTGTAGAATAAAATTATCATTTTAAGAATAAAGTACTTAGTACTTTGGAAAAAAATGTTTTAATGCCTCTGTGGCGTTAAATTAACAGTTTACTGTGAGATTTCTGACAGACAGTATTACTGAGAAATAAAAAATAAATTCAGATTTCGGTTTTTTTCTAGGGAGTTGATTGATTTCAATATGGATTTTTTTTTCACGAATCGAGATGAGTTAGAGAGTTATTAAAAACTATGAAGCATTGGTATGACTATACGTACGAATTGATGAACAGACTCAAACTAGGACGAAGCAGCTGCCCAATCAATAATCAATGGCTTTCTGTGACTCTCTAACTGATGACGAAATTTATTCTGAAAGTTAAACGAATTACTGAAAATTGTTTTCAGGTGGTTGGGATAGTCGGCAGGAAGCCTTGGACCTAGATTTCACACCTGTTGTCATTCATCAGCCAGGCATACCTGCAATCTTGAAGGAACTTATATCCTTTTTGAAATTCGAACCCGAGTCACTCAGCACAGCAGTCAGACACCTTACCAATGGGTTATTCTGGCTTGCAATTGGCCTTCCATAAGACTTTAATATACACAGGCATCTAATCCTTTGTTTGTGACAGATTGAATTCTATCGGTCCGTGGAGTAGAAAGAAAGTTAACGATTGTATCCCACTGTTCATATCATTCAAAGAAATCAGGTAATTGATGTAAGATATTTTGAGATAATCTGTGGTCATTGGACTGTTATCAATGAATTAGATGATGAGGGGAGGTGACATGAAAATCTGACACTCTACAAGCTGAGCTATAAGACTTCCTACTAGTTACTTGGAGGCCTCTGACTCGGAAAGTAAGTGCTAAAGTTTTAAATGATGTCATAGCTAAATCGACTAATAAAACGTTACAACTATGTTATGCACTTTCTTTTAAAACAGATCTTTTTCGAAAGCCATAGCTTATCAAAGGGGATAAAGACAGCAGAACGATCAAGTAATCACAATTAAGATATACATGCAAAAGCGTAAATTCAAGTTAATTTAACTCACCACTATTGTAAATTCATAAGTTAATTTGATTAAATGAAATCCAGTAAACAATGAGTATCTTTTCTTTTTTTTATTTGAACAAAAATATTTTATCAAATTTCCACTTTATCCTGATAGGAAGTGCAAAAACACAACGGTGTACACTGATTTCGTCTCGTTTTTGTCATCCTTAAGTGTGATATTTTCACTTTCAACCAATCACAGTTGAGGAATGGCGGCATTCATATTCCTATTACTATTAGAAAAGTAGACAGAATATTTATTGTTTATTTCTGTTTCCATATCAGCATCATATCCATAGGAAAAACACCAATCAGAAGCGTTTCAGTGTCAAAATGGGATGACAGAGCGAATATTCGCTTAATGCAGATTTTTGATTGGTTAATAAACTTTGCTTTATTGAAAGGACACTAATCACTTAAAATTTTTGTTTTTAAGCGAATAATCCGAAATAAATTCCACAAATTTTGAGTCAAAAGTAGTTTGAAATGACTTTTTCCACCTTTTAGAAGTTTTTGTTAAAAATTTTAGTCACTGTGAAGTTAAATACTGGAAGTGATTAAATCCTGAATAACTGTGTTATCCTAGTTTTTGACAAGTCATTACTTTTCTCCGAATAGCCCGTTACACATTCGAAGTAACTGGCGACTAGTTTACCTTTGAATAAGTTTTGCATATTTCCGGTGATAGATGTCATTAAAGCATTGTATTTATTGTGTCATATGT